AGCTCGGCTCCCCTTTTCTAGCCACTTGTCCCTCTTTTAACTCCCTTTTACTGTGGTTAAGATTCACTCACCCCTAAGATTTACTCATCTACCCTTAATTTTTAGAATAAAAATTAACCACAAGGGTTTTTTTAAAAAGTAACCAAAGTTCATGATAGTTTAAGGGGCTTTGTGAGAGCGAGGAGCAATAATTTGCTCCTCGCCCATGGAGTGAACTATTGCTCTTGTCAAAATTATCAAAATATGGCCCATAAAAACATTGATTGAAATTGTCACTGTTTACAAAATTATCATTGCACTTATCGTCTCTACTATTATAATGAGAATGACAAAAAAAAAAAATTAAAAAGACAAAATTATTCTCCCACTTATATTTGCTTTACCTTCACTATTATAATTGTTATTGACAAAATTACCTAAAATATGAACCATAAAAACTTTAATTGAATTTTGTGACTATTAATAAAATCACTCTTACACTTTTCTTCTATGCTATTATAATGAGAATGATAAAAAAATTCTTTTACTTATATATTCTCTATCTCTACTATTATAATCATTATTGACAAAATTATGTATCTACTATTATAATGAGAATGACAAAATTATCCTTACACTTATATCTTTTATATCTCTAATATTATAATGAGAATATGACAACGTTGATTGAAAAAATTGTCCTTACACTTGTATCTTTACTGACATAACAAAAATGGATATTATAATGCAAACATAGATTTAATATTTTAAAATGACAAATTACCGTTTAACATAAAAATGTTTCTACTACTAATTTATGAGTAATTTTGTCTTTTAAAAAAGTTATATATCCACTCTATGCACATGTTTCCGTTCATACTTTTATGAGTCTCTCTCCCTCACATATGTGCGTCACACTACAAAATTCAAGGTTTTTAGCGGTGGTTCAAAACTTCCGCTAAAGACCTGTAGTTTTGTGGTGTGTCATGTGGGTCTCACTAGGGTGCATCTTTCCACTCTCTCTCGCATGCATCACATATGCAACCCATTAATTACCATATAAATATGGTTATATATCGCATTTCTCACTAGATGCGTGAATGACTCCCCTGTTATAATATTCAATGATTTAGGGGTTATTAGTGTAATGTCACTTAGCACAAATTAGTGGTGGGATCAACTCATTGGTATTCCCTACTTCTGGTGTTTATTAGTCATACATATCCAATTTTCGTGCTCTCACTTTTTTTACATAATAAAATTAATAATTTTTGTGGGACCCACATGTTGGGTGATGCAAAATTTGTTTCATCATCAAAAGAGGGGTTGAGTACATGAACTTTTTTTTAATTCAAATAGTATGCTTAGCATCCGTTATACCAAACCCTTCTATGTTTTAGGGCTCTTCTTTTTTTCCAAATATTCAACATACTGTCACGTTCTCTTGTTCTCCCACCTCTTTAGCTCATCTGTCACCTCATGCTATTTTGTCTACTATTCTTTTTTTCTAATATAAAAATTATTAAAATTAGTTGTCTTCTAGTGATAAGGCTCTAAGTTGTACTTTTGTTTTTTGTTGAAGGTTATTCATTGAAAGGATTAAAGGGATTACATCAGAGGCACTTCGATTAAACAAACTGTCCAAGGCCATAATAGTGGAAGACCCAACAACAACAATTGAACTTGTTAAAAAGAACTCGAACGTGATCTATTTTTCTAATGCACTGACAATCTTGGCCTCAAGGATCGAAATATCTAAAGAATCAGCGGTAAAGCATATTGAGATCAGATTGAAAAGAGAAATTGCATATTATTATACACTCGAGATCGAAGTCCAAGATATAGGTCACAACCCATTATTCTACGACATTATGAGATACCTCGAGTATCGCATGCTCCCCACAAATGCTACACCAAAAAAAAAATACAATTTTGAGAACGACACATCAGCACATCATTTTGTTGTAGCATAGTGTACAAGAGGGTTAGATGATGGAAGGTCATAAGACAAGTCCACATGGAGTATGTGGTCCCACATGGACAAGTACGTGTTGTCTTGGAAGATCCAATGACTCAGGTACTACTAGACTATAATAGAGTTAGATTGATGTGTCAATAGATGTAACTGATGCCAAATATGTGAGGACTTGATTCATGCATCACCAACTAAGTTAAAAACCCACCAACATCCCTAGTCATTCTCAATTGGGGCAAATATGATCAATAATATCAACCCCAACATCTAATATATACAAATACATATTGCGGCAGTCGATTATTTCACCAAGCGGGTAGAAGCTGGCTCATTAAAGATGGTTCACAGCAAAGCAAGTGTTGGATGCAAAAATTAAAAACAATAGAACCAAATACAATAGATACTCAATACTGAATTATTAAAAAAAATGCATAACAAAGTATTCTCAAGAAATTGATGAACAAGAAATAGATTTCGGCAATGCAAAGATGCTATGACATATTCAATCCTTTTCAGCATGTAATTTCAATAGAACTCAAAATTGTTCCATTGTATGCAATTGAAATAGCAATGACAGCCTGCAATAATATAAAACAAAAAAAAGGAAAAACTTATCGTAGTTTGCAGGGCGTATTTTAAACATTGTTGCTCTTAAATCTGAATTTGCGCCTCTCAGGTCAATGTTATATAATATATATTTACTCAACATATTATGTATATACAATAGAGTTATATGTACAGATACAATATAACAATGTTATATACCAATGCTATATAAATAAAATAGTATATATTGTTAAACATGTATGCCCACGAAAGTAATTTTGGACTTGTATTTATCTATTACTTTAATAAATATATTAGTTTCAAACATCGCCTTCTACATTAGGTATGATATTGAAAAGTATCTCATATGATGACATCACTTTGTTCCTTAGATAACACTGTAAGGAAACCATTCAATTGGTTGAGAACCAAATGCAAAAGCGATATAGTTTTTTGGTTTCTTGTAGACCTAAAATTGTTACAAGTTATTTAAAAATGCAGTTCGAGGCACTATATTTGGAGCTCCAGGATAAGATCTTCATTAGTGTGTAAGCCAATTGTATACTACCACTAATAAACCAATACATCGCAGGATTCATCATAACAAGAGTCTTTGTTCATATAGCTATATTTTCATTAGAGATTACAATCCAAAACAAAACGAAGATAACCCAAGTGGGAGGTCTTGGGTTCCATTTCTCACTCCCCCTTTAGGGCATGCCCTGCACAGGTTTACCCGGACTTACCTAGTGTGGCGGGTTGCGCACTCACGTCTCACCCTTAGGGATTAGTCCTGACCCAAAGGGTTGGGGACACACCGAATTCCAAAAAAAGATGTTTGACCATAAAAATTTTATCAAATCTCAATCAAAACTTCTCGAGTTATCCTAATCTTTAGAAATAATTCATCGATTCTTCAATTACGATGAGATGAAATAGTAATAGTTATGTTCAAGAGGTTTTAGCTCCGCCCCTGCGAAGGAAGCAACAGTCAATCCCGAATAAATAGTTGGTGGAGAGAGTGTCACACTTGTCATTAATCTGATCAGGCACTTTAGGGAGATCACCTTCACCCATGTTTTGAGAATCTACAATCGTGAACGAAGTGTTAAAGTACTGAGAGCTAATGTTCTATACGCAGTCGACCAAACAAAACTCTAGCTAAGCTAATAGTCAACTTGGCTCTTATTTGTGGCCTTCCTTCTCTCCGGGGTAACTAGATGAGTCACAGTAGTCCTTATTAGTGAACTACAGCCTCATTGTTAATTGACTATTAACTCGCCCCCACACCACAAGCTCGAGAACTAGTGCGGGAATGCTGGCTAGTATAACAGTAGCCTTTCTAGCCTCAAAATAGGCTGCTAACTCACTAGCCACGTTAGACATATTGGGTCATATAGAATTTCTCCGTTCTCTCCACTGATCGAGATGAAGTATATTTTGTGCAACAACCCCTTATATATGATAGAAAATGATCCCATGATCCTGAACTAATATACTTGAAGAAATCAATTATATATTAATACAATTAGATCTGCTCTTCATGATTAATTTTCAAGAAAGTGTTTTATTTGCTTATCTTCCATGGAAGTTTCATTTTCCCATAATGTATCCTAATTTTTGGCCAAATTCTTCTTCTGATGATCAATTCAACCTTTGATAAAAAAGATATACCTTGGTTATATTTCATCACAAGTACCACATCGTCCCGGGTCGTCGCAATGAAAACTATAACTGAAATCATTTTTATCTGGCATTAACTTGGAACCGCATGTATCTAAAGCACCTTTCACTAGGATCAATGTAGTTGTATGTAAACTTAGAACATTAGCATGATGAACTAATAAGTCTCCATGACCTATTATTAACCAATGTTTCCTCATGTTTTCAATAAAACCTTCTCCTAGAAGTATTTTAATAATATTTTTGGTTATATTGTAGATGTTATTCAAACCGTTCCTTTTTTACTCATGTCAGCGTTTTGTATAGAAGTTCTTATGTAAGCAATAACTCGATTAATTGGATAATTTAAATTAAACAATAAGATGAATAATTTACATTAACTAATGTTTTGAACTGATCAATATGAAATATAACTCGTTGTTGTGGTATGTAGAAAAAGCGTCAGACTTTTAATTTCTCATAAAGTCCCTCCGAAATTACTTCTATAGCCTATTGAATAATTTTTATGGATTTCGTCATTTCACCTTCTTGTGTTTGGCTCTTCAGGGTAAGGTACTCAATTGTGACAGACTTCCTAGCTTGACCGGGGATTAGATTTCTAGATTTCCATAGATGGGATATCATGCAAATTATTTGTATAATAATATAAGCAACTCCATTTTTAAATAATGTAAGGGCTTAAAAGAAATATCTCCAATAGAAAAATAAAATGTAAAGAATTGTTCTTTGATTTCGTTTGAAATTTCATTTCATTATCTCAGCCTGGTCATGGATTGAGAACGGAAATTGAACTCTATGAGATCTAATCTCCCATTGTTCCTTAATAGCTGAGCGGTAGAGCAATCGGCTATTAACTAACTGGTCTTAGGTTCAAATCCTACTTAGGGAGATTCATTATGAATAAAATCACTTTGTCCATCAGGTAACACTATAAGAAAACCATTCAGTTGGTTGAGAAACAAATGCAAAGGAGATATGGTTTTTTGGTTTCTTTTAAACATAAAATTATTCCAAGTTATATGGATTCATCTAGACATTGTATCTCTCTTTGACGTACACAAATGGTGTGATGAATCTCAATTACAAAGAGAAGGGTCTCTTGATTAGCAAATGGGTATGAGTAATAGGTACTTGTACTGAATTGAATAGATTAGTGGATACCCTATGAAAAATGTTTTCTAGTTATATATATTAGGGTGATCAATTTGACAGATTATCATTAACCCTCTCTCTCTCTCTCTCTAATTGAAAATTGAATTAATTTGGGCATGAGTATATGAAAGTGGGACCTACTTAGGGTGGGACGTCCTACTCTCATTCTCTTATAGTAATTATGAATTAGTTAGTTAAAGAAACTAGAATCCCAATTTTAATAAGAAATAGAAAAAAAGGAAAGAATCCCAAGAGAAGGAATCCTAAATAAAATATGAAACTCTCATAATACTCCCTAGGGTTGGACGTCCCCACCTACTATATATTGAGAATTTCTCATATTAAGAAACCCTAGTGCTATTCCTAGGCCTGGACACCCCTCTCTCCAATTCTAATAGTGGACGCCCCTTTCTCTGTCTCTCCAAGCTTGAACTCTCTCTCTCTCTCTGTAAAAACCCAAATATTTTGCTTATTTTAGCTCATTTTTATGATTAAATTGCATGAAATTAAAGTTAACAAAAGACTTTAAAAAAAAAAAAAACAAGGCCCCGATCGATCACCAACCAGCACTGATCAATCACCGGTGCCAATCGATCACCACTCGACGGGTGATCGATCGTTTGAAACAACGATTTTTTTGGGAAACGCAATTTTCTGACTTTTTGAGGCCTTAGGGTCCATAACTCTATAAATAGACCTTAAACTCACGGGTTTTAGGTTTTCTATCATTCTAAAATTTATTAGAGAGAAAGGGAAAGAAAAACCTAAGGTTTCTTAAAGATTTTTCATTAGAGAAGAAGAGGAGAGCTTGGAGATCTCATCCAAGGCCATTTTCAAGCAATGGATCGTAGTGAAACGATCAAAAGAGGTACTCTGCATTGTTCTAACCTAATAATATGTACGACATAAGTATTTTATGATATGGAATGATGTTTATATGTAGTTAAGGAATATTGATCATGTTAAGAGTTAGATTTGCATGTTTTCAAGGGAGTTTTCATGATAGTTATTGGAATGAGATGAATAATGTTGGATTTTATATTCTGAAATTTTGATTGTGATTGGAAGATGATGATGATGATTATCCACAATATTATGTTTGTGGGCAATGAAATCTCACTGCTCGTAAGGCGGGTGCATGGTGCACCTACCTACATAAGATCACCACCCATTGAATGAGCAGTTAAGCTTCACGCATACCAAAGGCACACGCACCAGCTGGCCAAGGGCTGGCTCACCGCCAGCCTACCTAACATTAAATGCTAGCAGTAGGGCAATAATGCCCCGTAGACACCCCTTTATGTCAGTCCTTAGGGGGCTGACACGTGGTTATGGTTTGCTCTTGCGGGTAGACCCTATTTAAGCTCTGCAGACAGACTTTATGAGTCCATCCGCAGGCCAGTCAATAACTAGCCCAGTCCATGACCATAAATGGCCAAGTACTTAACTCAAACCAAGGGTTGGACCCATGGTCCCACCCAGTGTTGGTCTACGGACTACCTAAGACTAGTCTCTGGTCCGCAACTCAAATAGGCTTTGGACTTGACCCAGGCCGCAGGTGAGACCCATGCTCTTATCTCTTTAACTTACGGACTGACCAAGGTCAGTCCTTTCCCAGCTGGCAGTCAGATACTGACTGCCATGTGGCAGAGAATCTCTGATAAAAGAGGACTCTCTGCCAACTTTGGGGGATCCCAAGATAGAGATCCCCTCTTCTTCTCCAATAATAGAATGCTATATGACACTTTATTCGAAAGGGGAAGTAATCTCTTCCCTTTTATGGGGAGATATGACTCTTCCCTCTTTTGAGGGAATGTCTTACCCTCCTAAGTTTCCCAAAAAAAGGAAATCAATTTGGACTCCTTCAAGAAAAAGGACTCCTATGTGTACCAGGTTTGTCTAAGATAAAAGAAAGCAGCTGTCTTGGAAAGATGACCCTCTCTAAGGAGAGTTGGCCTCTTTGGATTTCCTAAAATGAAGGAAGTCAAAGGAGAGTCCAAAGAAGACTCTCCAAATATTTTAAAAAATGGATTTCTCACAAGAAACCCACACGAAAGAACCATAGAAAAAAGATGCGAAGATAGAGACGAAGAGGAGACGAGAGAGAAAAAGTGATTTCTTTTCTTTTACAGGAAAACAACAACCAAGGAAGAAGAAGAAGGATCTCCCATCAATGGAGAATATCAGGTGAACCCCCAATATGGCAACCTCTTTTTTTTTTTTCTTTTTTTTTGCAAAGACCTCTGTAAGGTATCCTGTAACGCCAACATGGGATCTAGGCAACCCATTGAATAAAAAATACTTTATTCAAATATTTTGTTATTCTTCTTAATCAAAGGTACTTCCCCAAATCGGGAAGGTAATTAATAGTCTGGGTTTACTCAGATTAAAAGGATAGTCCCCCACACAGAATAATAAACTCCATACAATAATTAAGGTAATTTGACACGCAGAAAAAATTTACGTGTTACAAATTTCTGGCACGCCCAGTGGGACTTTCTTCTCCTCTCATCTTTAATGGAAAATAAAAAATAAAAGAAGAACAAAAAAAAGGAAAAGTGAGCTATCATTTCCTTTATCTTTTTATCAGTTTTGTGCAGAATCAAATTTGTATGTGTTCGTCGGGCCTACGTCCTGACGATCAACCGGCGGGTGTATATACCCCCGATCCTGATTTCAGTGACTCATCCACTGACTTGGGTCGAGATAGCAGCAGCTCTAGTCAGGAGGGTCTGACCAATTGGTCAGACTTCTACAAAGAGGCCATGGTCACCAAACCAAGTCTCTGTTGAGGATGCTCTAGCCCGTAGCAAAAGCAAGACCCACCCCGTCAACTCAGGGGTGGAAAAGCAGGCAGCCCGCCAACAACAGGTCGCCAGCCCACGGACATTCCAAAGGATGCCAGCTAGCTCGCGGGTGCTTCAGAAAAGAAGTGCCCATTCGCAGACATTTCTATTCGCAGATACCAAGGAGGGTGTACCCAACCGGATGCACACAAGGCAAAGTTTCTAAACTACTTCGCGATAGGTCAGCCTAAAAGGCAGACCTATGTGACCGAAAACTCTGAAAGGGGATTCCAAAATTGCTAATCATTCGGGGCAACTAATAGAGCAAGCTCATTTCAAGCCCAAACCATGATCCAGTCAAGGTCTCAACAGGAAAAGTCTTATATACGCCAAAAGTTGGTAAAAACCACGGTAAAAAACCGTGGTTTTCAATCATAAACCATGGTTCCTGACCATGACTTTTTTCGTCATGATTTCTCTAATGGTTTTTATAGACAACGGATTGGGACAGTGGTAAAAGGTCAGCCAAAACAACAGTCGGAAACCATGGTTTATGTACAAATAAACCACGGTCGGTATCCGTGGTTTATTTATCATAAACAATAGTCCTAAACCGTTGTTTTAATTGATTAAGTAAATAAATTTTTTAATAAAAACAACAGTCCTTGACTGTGGTTTTTCCAAATAATTTAGAAAAAAAATATTTATTTTTTCAACCAAACGACACCTGCACCTGTAATACCTTTCAATAAAATTAACACTTACCCACCACAATACAGAAGAAACACTAAACCATCAATTCAAATACCTTACAAACACACTACACCTCAAAAAGCTAATCATTACTTCAAACATCCAACCATCATAATATATTTCAAGTCCAAACTTGTTAGTTATGTACATCTGGAAGAGGAATAAATTACAAAGTAATGAATTAAAAAAGTAAAATTACACATGAGAAAAATCAAAGAAACAATGTATATAGCAATGATGTTGCATCTCTATTAACGCGTCCGAGTGCAACAGTCTTCCTCTTGAAATTCACCAATAAACAAAGTGAGGATCTTAGGTCAAAAGGAGACTCTGGGAGAACTGAAAAATGTCACCTTACCTACAAACATTTAAAATATATTATATGAGACTTCACAAATTTTTAATCATTTAAATGCAATTCAGAATAAATTAATGACTAATAACAAATATTCTATCAACACAACCAAAATGCATAACAAGACCAATGCACATTCATAATAGCCTTTCTGTAATCTCTTTGCTTTCCACTAGTAAAGAAAATAACCTCTTTATAGATGAAGTGAGATGATAAAATAATCTCAACATATCTCAAAATTTACATGATTTTGGAGTCTAGCTTAATAAAAATAATATGGGAATTGTCTCATGCGAATAATACTCATATTGTTGCCACCCCTCTCAAAGAAGTGGATGTTGATAAGATAATGACCAATACAAAATTAACTGGTGACAAATAAAAAGTAGAGTCCAAATATTTTTTTTTAGTTAGATACAAGAAATCATTCACATATAAAAATGAGCGCAATGGAGAGTAACTCTACCAAATGATTTGAACATGCAAAAAATACCAAATATAGTACTAATAAGAATGAAACACTTTGTGAAAGTTGAAAGCACCTAATTCAAGTATGAAAGGCCAATAAAGACATGTACATAGGGAATAAAGGTTTTTGAAATAGTGAAAGAAAGATTTAATAACACAATTTAATGGAATGTATGGCATTGAATAAACTAGGATAGTGGTAGCAAGATATATGTTTTCCACTCTGTACATAGCTTCCCTGCAACTATACAGTTAATACATATAGTGCTCTTAAGATTGTCTGTAATAACTAATGTAATAGTTTCTGGTACCAGGGCAGAGAGTGTCTGTAATAACTATTGTATAAAAAAATAAAAATCAAATAAGCATCTCATG